GAGAAGTGGAGGAAGACCTGAACTTAGAGGAAGCCACAGAGAAGAATCGCTCACACAGACCCTGATATACCCACCCAGTGTCTCAGCCCATCTAACAAAATGTGATGGTCAGCCGTTGTGAGGAAAAGTAACACGTCATAAGCGTATAGGCTTCTGGTCTGTCTCCAGTTTGAACTTTGCTAATGGTGAATCCATTTAGTTCCAGTAGAGTTGTATTGTTCTGCAGTGTCAGCATCGGAGGGATTAATCCATGATGAGTGTAAAGCTGCATAAAGGTCTTTAAAATGTTTGTTTCCTGCTGTACTGAGGCGTCAATTTGAAATCTCCTTATTATGAGTCGTGTCAGTGATCAGAAAGGGAAGGAAAGAAGGAAGGAAAGAAGGAGGGGTCATCAACATTTGGACCATATATACAAACTTCATACATTAAGTATTATAAATCTTCTGGATCTGTAAGTGTTGCTTACAGTGAAGTTTTCTCCTCACAAAGGGCAGCGAACAGCCAGAGAACGCCCTCAAACAAGCTGAGTGTGCAGATTGATTAAAGGAAAGGAGTTCGGCTTGTAGTGAAGGAAAAAGGGTCGTACCAAATATTGACTTTGAAGCTTGAATTGTACAAATACTGCATTTTCCTTCTATGTTTACAAGTATGCAGAAGTTTCTATAAATCCATTTTGTGCATTTTTCCTGACACAATGTAAACAAATGAAGGGTGTAAAGACTCTTACACTACAGACTTGCTGGTGTGCTCCTGTGTACTATTAGAAACATTAAATAAGAACTAAGACACACACATAACCTGCTCACCTACAGCTGAAAACATCCAAACACGCTGGGAAGAGCAGCTGACTGAGCCGAGCCTGGCTGAGCGAGCCTGGCTGAGCCGAGCCTGGCTGAGCCGAGCCTGTGCTGCCTGGCACCAGGACGGCTGCCTGGCAGCAGGACGGCTGCCTGGCAGCAGGACGGCCTGGGTTCCAGGCTGATGATTACTCCTTGATAAACAATCCTTTGTCACGGTCAGGTTCCCCGGTGTGACCCCCTTCTTCTCCCTGTTTCTCCCCCTTCAGGCACGGGGACGTTTGGACGAGTCTTCCTGGTCAAGGACAAACAGAGCAGGGCCTTCTTTGCCCTGAAGCAGATGAAGATCCCCGACGTGATCCGACTGAAGCAGGAGCAGCACGTCCACAACGAGAAGGAGGTGCTGAGCGAGGTCAACCACGCCTTTCTCATCAGACTGTGAGTGCTCTGCAGTCTCATCTGCAAACACATGGGGGCTTGTAGTCCAGTTGTAAATGTGATCGATCTATCTCTAATAATCAGCTATGTACCACAGGCCTTCAAGCTGCTGCAGTTAAACCTTTACTCAAAAAGCATCTGTAGACCCAGCAGTCTTAGCTAATTACAGGCCAATCTCCAACCTTCATATCAAACATCATTGAAAGAGGAGTTCACACAGTCAGGTCAATTATGGAGTTCCTCAGGGTTCAGTGC